GCGGGCTTTATAGCCCTCCAAATCTCGCGACCAAATCCCGCGACATTTCAAATATCGCGAGACTTGGCGCGAGATTCCCTCCCCATTGGCCAGGGTGACCGGAAAGGCGGGCCTTCCATTCTTCCTGGCCAATCGAGCGTCGTGGCCCTTTTTTGGGCAGACGCAACAAAGGCCCCCTCCCAATTCGTCGGGGGGGTCTTTCCTTTTGCTCTCACAAAGGGTTAAAAAATCTCACAGTGGTTGACAATGTTTTTGACACAATGTCTTGAGTGCTGAGACACTTTCCCATTATGACAAGAAAATGTTCAAATGTACATCCCTACTTCTATCATCCTCCATCCTGTCTCTCACTACTACACATTTTTCTTCTCTGCCCAACATCCACCATGCATTCCATAACCACAGACACCACTCAGTAGTTAAGGATGTTTCTGCAGTTTCCTCCCCCAAAATATTTTATTTAATTTTGGTAAACAGTCTTATTCTATGAATCTGCTGATAATTTCCTCTTGTGTGTGGACATTTTGGCTGTATAAATATCAGTACTCACCTCTGAACTTCAGAATCAAGGAGATGGCTGCATGAATGTCAGTCACATATTTGATTGTTCAGCAACTGTTACAGATTTTCATTTGGGAGAATGTATTGAACCATTGTGAAGGGCAAACCCTCTCTGGACATACTTGCCAAGAAACCCCTTTGATAGGGTGGCCTTGGGATTGCCATACATCATAAATGACTTGAAGGCACACAACAACAACAACAACAACAACAACATTTCTACATGTACCATCAAATGTGTTTACATATATTGTGTAAATCTTTGTGGCTGATGCTTAGATGAAGAACAATTGATAACAGTCTGTGACATATGCTTAGAATGAAAATGTTTCAGTGATATTTCCTCCCCATGTGACTCCCAGTGATGAAGTGTTCTGAAACCTGCCTTTGTCATCTAAAGAAAAGCAAACAAATGCTCAGCACTAGCATATCTAGGAAAACAATCTTGCCAATACATACAGTACCTGGTGCTATAATTTGACAGCTATCCTTTCAGGAAATACATCTACATCTTTTTGTTTTAATCTCTTGTTCAAATTATGAGGCTGTCATTCAGCAAGAACACTGTAGAGAGCAGTAGTAAAAGGTCAGCATTTTAGCAGACTGTAACAAACGGTTGTGGCATCCTTACTTGATTAAATCCCTTCAGATTATGTTCATCTAAACTGGGGTGAGTGCCTTCTACACCTCTCCTCCCAACGCACCACCCTCAATTAAAGAAAAAATAACTGGAAAAGGCCTCCAACTCACTCTAAGGGATATGTGGAACACTTTTACCATGTCTCCCCTCCAGCCTGTTTTAAGCCCAAGATAGGTATTTTTAAAAATGGATTTTATTTCAAATAGTTCAAAACCACTTCCGGTTTTGAAAAAACAACATCCCTCCTGGTCTAAAAGAACTTTGAGTGGGACAGTCTGGCAGAAGTGCCCTCTATAGCCTCTAGATGACATGGGTAGCCTTTTCGGGGGTGAGGAAATAGAGTTGGGTTCCACTGGAGCCCTGGTGGGGTTCATGCATGCCACAGGCTGCAAAAATAATACACAACTTTCCTGCCACAACATGGATATCTCAGTCAATTCTCCTATGGACTGTGCAGATTTCTTTTATCAGATACCAGCAAGTGTGGCTTGTTTCTGATATTAGAAGTTGGCTCTACAGTCTCCATTGAGGAAAGTGTCATCTCAGTGTTTTTGGCTTTCCTCACCTTTCCTGAAATATTTTTCCTTTCAGGGAGATCTGGTGACAAACTAGGGATGTGAGAAACATCACCTAGAAAGGATTCCAAGCCCACCCAAATGATTTTCATACTCAGTGATATAACTGAGAATGTAATGAGTTGCCTGATTTTATTTGGTTTAGTTGCTTCACAGCATTTTCAAATAGGAAATGTCATCAAAAAGAAGCTAAGCTATACCACATGTGGTGGACGTGTAGTGTTGCGAATACTTTTTGGAATGCTATACATAATAAAATAACAGAAATATTCAAAATCAGGATAAAAATGGACCCCAAATTATACTTATTAAATATAACGGAAAATCTGAAAGGGTTATTTAAAAAAGATGAAATAGGTGTAATTCTGTACATGATTGCTGGTGCACGCTTGATCCTATCCAAGTATTGGAAAAGAAATAATATGCAAATGTTTGAGGAATGGAAATGGAAAATAAGAGATTTAATGCAAATGGATAAATTGACCATGTTAGTCAAGGGTAAACAAGAGCAACATTACAATTCAAAATGGGATAAAATAGAAAGTTGTCTCGTATCTTAGTAGGTCATTAAAAGAAATGGTGGACAATAGGATATGAGGAAAACTGTCTTTTTCTTTCTAAATTTGATTTATTGATATTCATTGATACAAATATTTATTTGTTTAAGCAATTTGGACCCTAGATTGTCAATAGTATTGTTTTCTTCCTTTTGTACTGAAGTTATGTAAATGGTAAATAACATTTTAAGTTTTATATGTACAATAATATGTACAATAATATGAAAATCTCCAATAAAGCTGGATGAAAGTTAAAAAAAAATTCCTCCAACATAAAATAGAAACATTTTGTGATGGTGATGAAGAAGTCCAGCAGCATCTTTGAAACTAACTTTCAGCATGATCTTTCATGCTTATCAATGCATTTCTTCCATTGAACTGATGGGATTGGGAGTACAGCCACACATATGTGGGAGTACAAGTTTGGGAGTGGGAGTCTATGTGCAATAAGATTAGAAGATACAGACCAAGGCCACAAACATTTAGGAAGCTGTCTAAGAAGATGATATTTGACAAGCAGATGGTCTGTAGTCCTAGGGTATGAAAGCAATACTTCAAACAGTACTTAAGAAAATCAGTATGATAATCAGTATTTAAAGTAGTAGAATTCAGAGACATAGCCCTATTAGTCTGGAAAATCACTATGCAAATAGATCTTGCAGTACCTTTGAGACTAAGGGCCTTTGCAGACTGCCAGAAATAGTGCAAATTGAGTCCACTTTAAGGGTTAGGGTTAGTGCTAGGGAATCATGGGAATTGGTTGGTTTTTTTCCTGAGACATTGAGCCTTCTCTGTCAGAGAGCTCTGGTGCCACAATAAACTACAGTTCTCATGATTCCCTAACCCTAACCCTTAAAGTGGACTCAATTTGCACTATTTCTGGCAGTCTGCAAAGGCCCTAAGTGAAAGACAGAAGTGGATAGAAGAACCTTTCATATACTTGAAGCTACTTCCTCAGATGCACTATTTTATTACTCAGATGCATCTGAAGAAGTAGGCTCAAGTCAACAAAAGGTCATGATACCTCCTATCTTGGCTGAAAGGTGGTGCAAGATCCCTCTGAGTACTTAAAACAATACTAAAGGACTACTTAAGTGATACTTAGAATTACTTAAGCAAGATCTGAGGCAATCCTTAGGAAAGTTTGAAAGCAACCCTAAAGATAGTTGGTTTCCTTGGGCTGAGGGGAGTTGTTTTCTACATGAGAAGTAGTGAAACTCCAGTTTTTATCTCATATATGCATGGTACTAAGAAACTATAAAATAGATGTTTTGAATGAAGAAGTTTTAAGGGAAGACTGGAAAGCGAAACAGTTGGATTGAGATATATTCATAAATTCCAATTCTTTAACAAAGGTATGAACACTTGGCACACTGCCTACATTAATATTTAGATCCTCTCTATTGCTCATTTATAAAACACTCCTCATGTAAAAATCCAGTCCACAATTAAATAAATAATGTTAATTAAATAATTTAATTTTAATACATTATTTATTAAAATAAAAATAATTACAAGTCCAGTCCATAATTATATAAAGGCAAGTGTCATTACTTAAGGTGGTTTTAACTATGGCATGAATGAAGCCCTTTAGGCATTTCTTGACTGCACCTCCCAGCAGCCTTGGCAGGCATAGCCAGTGGTAAAGAATTCTGGAAGCTGCCATTGAACAATATCTACAGGGTCACATGATTCTGACTCAGCAGGATGCCTGAGATCCAGTTGCCAAAATCCATAGCAACGAGTTTAGTAACATGTTGAATCATTCTTTGTTGAAATCATTGAAACTGCTTGTAAGTGGTTTCATGATTACAGCCATAAACTTAATTGAAACAGTGGCTTTAATGAGGTTATTAGGAGGAATTGAGGTTGTAGTTAGGACATGTGATACTGCCAAAATATCCCTAAGCTTTTGGGTGGAATAATTGCAGTTGGCAACATTCTCATTAATCATAGCTAATGGTAATGATAGCTCCCTGTGGTGGCTCATGAAGAGGTGATGGCCTTAATAAAAGCTGCCTTACAAGGTAACAGATGGTGGATACATTTTAGTATTTTTAATATGAAATTGCTCAGTTTGAGAAAGCACAGCAAAATAAGAATTTATTTTTGTATACAACATAGCAAAGCAAGAATTAGGTCTAACCTCTCTTAATTTCTTGCAGTGCCATTGGGTTAACAAGTATGTTTCTCTCT